ATAACATATATTCCTCGCACCATCACGTTTCGTAGCAAAATCGTATACATTTAAAGTAGTCGAGGAAAATAAGAGTAAATAGGGCCAAAAAAGAAAAAAAAAATCAACTCCGTAAAGGCTTATTCAACGTATATAGGGGAAAAAAACAAAAAAATATTCAACGTCTCCGGAAAGTCTTGTTTTCAAACACGACACCAATATTTGATGTGGATAACATATATTTCTCGCACCATCACGTTTCGAAGCAAATTCGTATGCATTTAAAGAAGCGGAGTAAATAAGAGTAAATAAGGGTAAAATAGAAAAAATAATCAACGTCTCTGGAAAGGCTTATTTTCAAACACGGCACCATAATTTGATGTGAATAACATATATTCCTCACACCATCGTGTTTCGTAATAAAATTGTATACATGTAAAGAAGTCGAGGAAAATAAGAGTAAATAGGGGCAAGAACAAAAGAATAATAAACGTCTCCGGAAAGGCTTGTTTTCGAACACGACACCATTATTTGATTGGATAACATATATTTCTCGCATCATCGCGTTTCGAAGAAAATTCGTATACATTTAAAGAAGTCGAGGAAAATAAGAGTAATATGGGCAACAACAAAGAAAAAGATCAACGTCTCCGGAAAGGCTTGTTTTCGAACACAGCACATAATTTGATGTGAATAATATATATTCCTCGCACCATCGCGTTTCGTAGCAAAATCGTATACATTTAAAGAAGTCGAGGAAAATAAGAGAAAATAGGGGCAAAAACGAAAAAATAATCAACATCTCCGGAAAGGCATGTTTTCGAACACGGCACCATTATTTGATGTGAGTAACATATATTTCTCGCACCATTGCGTTTTGAAGCAAAATCGTATACATTTAGAGAAGTCGAGGAGAATAAGAGTAAATATGGGCAAAAAGGAAAAATAAATCAACGTCTCCGAAAAGGCTTGTTTTCGAACACGGCACCATTATTTGATGTGGATAACATATATTTCTCGCACCATCGTGTTTCGTAGCAAAATGGTATACATTTAAAGAAGTCGAGGAAAATAAGAGTAAATAGGGGAAGAAACGATAAAATAATCAATGTCTCCGGAAAGGCTTGTTTTCGAACACGACGCCATTATTTGATGTGGATAACATATATTTCTCGTACCAACGCGTTTAGAAGCAATTTCATATGCATTTAAAGAAGTCGATGAAAATAAGAGTAAATAGGGGAAAAAACGAAAAAATAATCAACGTCTCCGGAAAAGCTTGGTTTCGAACACGGCACCATAATTTGATGTGAACGACACCATAATTTGATGTGAATAACATATATTCCACACACCATCACGTTTCGTAATAAAATTGTATACATTTAAAGAAGTCGAGGAAAATATGAGTAAATAGGGGCAAAATCGGAAAAATAACATTGTCTCCGGAAAGGTTTGTTTTCGAACACGACACCATTATTTGATGTGGATAACATATATTTCTCGCACCATCGCGTTTCGAAGCAAATTCGTATACATTTAAAGAAGTCGAGGAAAATAAGAGTAAATTGGGGCAAAAACAGAAAAAAAAATCAACATCTCCGGAAAGGCTTGTTTTCGAACACGGCACCATTATTTGATGTGAGTCACATATAGTTCTCGAACCATTGCGTTTCGAAACAAAATCGTATACATTTAAAGAAGTCGAATAAAACAAGAGTAAATAGGGGCAAAAATGAAAAATAATCAACGTCACCAGAAAGGCTTATTTTTGAACACGGCACCATTGTTTGATGTGAATAACATAGATTTCTCGCACCATTGCGTTTCGAAAGAAAATCGTATACATTTAATGAAGTCGAGGAAAATAAGAGTAAATATGGGAAAAAAGGAAAAATAAATAAACGTCTCCGGAAAGGCTTGTTTTTGAACACGGCACCATTATTTGATGTGGATAACATATATTTCTCGCACCATAGCGTTTAGAAGAAAATCGTATACATTTAAAGATGTCGAGGAAAATAAGAGTAAATATGGGAAAAACGAAATAATATTCAACTTCTCCAGAAGGCTTGTTTTCAAACACGACACCATTATTTGATGTGGATAACATATATTTATCGCACCATCGCGTTTCGAAGCAAATTCGTATGCATTTAAAGAAGTCGAGGAAAATAAGAGTAAATAGGGGCAAAATCGAAAAAATAATCAACGTCTCTGGAAAGGCTTGTTTTCGAACATGGTACCATTATTTGATGTGAATAACATAGATTTCTCGCACCATTGCGTTTCGAAAGAAAATCGTATACATGTTTAGCGATTAAGTCAAGTTAGTCGAGGGACTTTAATGATTTGTCAAATAAATGGCCGAAGGGTGTGGTCGCGCACGTAGCGCGTACCACGGGCCGTGCATGTTTAGCAATTATTTTAGGTAATAGTCCTTCGATCATTTCATGTTTATTTGTTCAGTAAGTATTATTTTCATGTTTAGTTGTGTATTAGTTGCCGAGAGAAAATCATGTTTGGTCGAGAAACGGCTTAACGCCGTAGGCGGCACACGGTGCGCACGCCGCCGGCCACTTTAGCATATCGTGCAAAATTCATGATTTTAATTATTTTCAGCAAATTACATCATGTCAAGTCAGTTCATGTTGTTTCATGTTGAGTTGGTCGAAATATATCGCCGGACGGCCGACAAGGGCCGGCCGTGACCGCGCTGCCAGCACGCAGCGGCGGCAGCGCGCCAGCAG